TCTCTATGGCTACTGTAAGGTGGAAGCTGAGTCACTGGTCCGAAGCTTTTTCTGTTGTCTTAAAGATTAATGCCATAAATTTCTGCTTTGTCAGAAAACCACAAATTTTGAAGTGTTATGTTTTTAATTCCATTAAAAGTAATTTGTCTCATTCCTGTTTGTTTCACCCATTAATAACTATAATAGCTGATATTTATGAAAACTTGACCGATGAGTGCTTTGTTTCACAACCGCTTTTGAGATACTAAAGTTAAACATTTCAAAAGAAATTCAAAATTTCCTTTTAACCTCTGCATTTCTTTTGATTTGTATTTGACTTGTGGGCTATTTAGAAATCCATCATTTAATTTGCATTTTCCATATAGCTTTCTATTATTCTCATTTCATTGTGTTCAGAAGTTATACTTATAAGGCACATCATAGCAAATTTATTCAAATTGATTTTATGGTATAAGCACAATCTTAGTGTTTAATATGTAAAGTACACACAAAAGCCTGAAAATTCTTTTTGTATGCATATTTCACTTAGGGTTTAGGGAAGGAGAATATGTCTGGTGTCTCATTACCCATTTTAGGGTAGGAAGCTCAAGGGTTCTTCTCAACCGATTTGTTCTATGCTTACTTACTGGAATTTTAGAGCCACAGAGGAAACCATTGACTGTTTTAGTCTTGTCTCGGGCTTTTTGTGATAGGCATGGCAGAAAGCTCCCGGGTTGAGAAATGACAGAGGCTGGTGTGCAGATGTGAGCTGTGCTGGCCCTTGACCCCAGCTTACTGCTGAAATTTCTCCAGCTTCGCCTTTCCCTTCCACACCTGCTGACACACGAAGGTTCAGCACTGCCAAGGAAATTTACCTAGTCGCACGTATCCTTGAGTCCGTGATGGGGCTGGGCAAACAAGCTTCTACTACCGCTTCTTCTGCCCTGCTTGAGAAGCAAGTGCCAACTCTGGAGCCATATTCTCCTTTAAAAAGCAGGTATTGTAGCATCCACTTAAGTTGCTTCATAATAGTGGACTTCATCTATTTTGACATTCTTCAAAACAATACATTTTTTAACTTTCTAACTTTCTATTTATCATATCCCATATTATATGATTCTTCTAGTGTAGTAGGAAGCTGCTCATTCGTTTTCCAGCTGCCCGGACCCAAAATAATCACACAGAAATTATATTAATTGCAACACTCTTCGGTCAATAATGCAGCCATATTTCTAGCTAGCTTTTACATCTTGAATTAACCCATTTCTATTAATGTATGTATCAACAAGAGGCTATGACATACTGCTAAGGATCCAGCATCTGTCTCCTTAGGGAGCTACATGAGTCTCCCTGACTCTGCCTTCTTTTTACCTTTAGCTTTGCTTGGAATGTCTGCCATGCTCTATCCTACACTGCCATAGGCCCAAAGCAGCTTCTTTATGAACCAATGGTAACAAAACACATTCGCAGCATACAGAGGGGAATCCCACATCATTCTAGTGTTTGCTTTAGAGTTCTGCCTAGCCCTTCTGCTAGTATTTGTTTCAGTGGTATTTGGGTTCTGTTGCATGACAAATTAGGACGGAGGTAATTATGCTTAGCTCATACAGTGTTGGCTGCTCTGAGCCCCTTCCTGTGCGAAGGTGGCAGGAAACGTACCAAATAGCTATTCGATATAGTTCTTTTTGTTCTCGAGGAAATTTTAATTTTTGCCTAAGTTCCAAGAATTGCATGAGTTCTTTTCTCATCAATTTAAGTTGCCAAAAAGGTACCTGGGTCAAGCACGGTTCTACCCCCTGCAGAATGCTCTGGCTATTAGAGGGAAAATGCTTCTGCTTGTGTTATCTGACCTTTATAAAGGCACAGCCATTTCATTGTTCCATGTACCTTTTACAAAATCTACATGGAAAGAACGATTTTCTCTCTTGGGGACTTGGTATAATTACTTCTAACAGGGTAAGAATCGTATATGCCATTATGCAAGCCAGAAGCTCGCGGTTCTTCTGATAGTGTTAGCGGCAGTCAATTTTACATGTGCGCTTCTCTTATGATTTGATTTTCTACTCTTTTAAGCCTTAGTGAACATCTTTTACTCAGAGCCATTTCGCGTTGTGTTTTGGAAGAATATATTGAAAACCAATGTTAAAATAATAGACTAGCTTGTGAGTGGCTGTGTAGATGCCCACCTGTTAGCAGTGGGTTGTGCTCTGAACCCCTCTCCAGGTTTTGAAGTGTATGCTTGGGATGTTTTAGAAGCGTAAGAGTGATTTCTCTCACCCCACAATAGCATGACCTGATGAGAATATTTTTCCATTTTCTCTAATGGGGTAGGGAATCTGTGTGCTGTTGCTGAGTATCACTTTGGGTGTTTAAAGGGGCGTTTTCTATAATCATAATGGCAGTTCAGGTGGTTTGTCACCCTCACAGAGACCCCATACATGAGCTCATTCCCTCTACCATGAGGAGTTGGACGAGCAAAACTGAAGCTGCACAGTTGTCAAGGAGAAACAGACGGATTTGGGGTGTGATGGCTGGGCGTTAAACCTGAAGGGGAGTCCAGAAGAAATAGACTAGAAATGCAGCTTTGTAGTAGAAAATAGATTGCTGTCAGCTCTTAGTGTGTAGCTGTGTATGTGAGAGGATGGAAAAATAACATTTCAAACAGTTATCAGAACATGTTAATTAATGCCAGAGAGGCAGGTTTACATTGTTTTGCTTTAGTTGTAACTACTAATTACTTAATTACTTTTTATGTATATTGACGTTGTGTAACAGAAGCTTTCAGTTCTGCCTCTTTGTTTTTTGATATGCTAATTTGTTTTGTTTTAATTATGTGAAGCATAATTGCAGAAAAAAACTTAGTCTTCTCTATTATTGGTAAATGTTAGCATTAAATTCACTGTGTTTATAATGTTATCAAATATCCCATAACAACTCTCTCAGTTTTTAGTGTCTTGAAATAACTGTTTTCTACAACATATTATCTGAAACTGATGAGTTAAATTTTATCAAACCATGATGGCTTAAAATAATCTGAGTATATTAATGTCAGAGTTATGCAGTTATTTTTGATAAATAATCATGTCAAATTAACTGTCCTAAATTTAAAGTGCCCCCTCTTACTAAAACAGGCATTCCGCCTCTGCACTTCACACTGTTGTATAATCTTGCCTCACTTATTGCTAATGTAAATCTCTGCAGATTCCTCTGCCCCACAGATTTCGAGAGCCGCATCTACAGTTGCTTCAGCCCCGTGGATGCTGTGCAGTCGTGCGCTCTTTTGCTTATTAAAGGCGTGTTTACGCCTGCTGTGCACTGCTGTCGCTGTGGACTCTACTAAGTAGGCAAGAAACAGATCTTCCCTTAAGCAGCACACTTGTTAAAAGAGAGAAACCTACACGTGTGCGGCTGCGTAGCATGTTACAAGTGCTGTCAAGAACTGTGGGCGTGGCACAGTGTGAGCAGACGTGGAAGCCATCGTGTTATAGCCTGGCTCAGGTCTCCTCTCTGACACAGGATAAAGCAGAGGGGAAAGAATCTCCCTCTGGCCCCTTTCAACCTTCCTAGCAGTTGTTTGAAATGGACAGAAGGAAAGTGTTGGGCGGGGAGCTTTAAGGACATGAGGGAGGAAGAACCAAGAGGCAGAATTCTCCATGAACTTGTTGGCCATCCCTACAAAGCCCTATGCCATTTCTCAAATCTCAGCAACTGAGTTGGAGCCTGAGTACCCCGAGCAGTGAACTGAGGCAGTGTGGAGTGTGGTAGGGGTCACCCTTTCTCATGTAGTCTACCTCAGCAGTGACACTTCTCACTGTCAGTCAGTCCTGCGTTTTCAGCATGGTAAGCTCAGGACTGCACGGTTGTTTGTTTTTAATAAATTTATTTTACAACCCAGCCACAGTTTTCCCTCCCTCCATTCCTCCTAGTCCCTCCTCCAATTTCACCTCTGCTCCCATCCCCCAAGCCACTCCTCCGTTTCTATTTAGGAAAGGGCAGGTCTCCCCTGAGTATCAACCATACATGGCGTATCAAGTTTTAGGAAGACTACACACCTCCCCATGTGTTAAGGTTGGACAAGGCAACCCAGTATGGGGACTTGGGTCCCAAAGACCTGTAAAAGAGTCGGAGACAGTGGGAACAGAGGTGTCTTCAGCTGCATGGTTTTTACTTGACCGAGGATATCAAGAAGTAAGTTTTGTATTGGATGCAGGGGGACTTCACACCCAGTTCGGCTCAGCCTTGGGCTCATTTAAGCTAAGGCTGGCTTTTAGTATATGACGCTAAGGACTGAAGTTAAGGAGGAAAGGCCTAAGAGCGTTAAGGTTCTGTTTTTAGTTTCGTTTAGTGGGTCTGGAGTGGAATCCACAGAATTGTATTTCTGACAAGTATTCTATCACTGAGCGAAGTCCCAAGTCCTTGTTGTCTTTTGTGTTAAGAAAGACGGAAGAAGAAAAGGAAACAGACTATTGGAAATAGAAATAGCTGAGCAGTAACTGGTGTGGAAGCATGCGGGACTGTTCAAGTGACAGTGACTGCGGTTCAGGAAAGCAAGGATGAGTCAGAGAGTGTCTCAGATTGTCAGGTGCCGCCTGGCACAGCAAGGGACTGTCTACTTAGTTTGAATGTACTCGAAGAGTCCATTAACAGTTTGGTTTACATGCAGATTCTTCTCTGTACATTTGCTATGCAGGCTCAGTTGACTTAACTCATTTTCATACACTTTGCTCTTGATTTTCAGTATTTCACTCTAAGGTTTCTTAGTATGTTATGTTAACTCTGACCGTGCAGAAACACAAGTCATTCTGACTATCAAGTTAGACTGGTATGCTATGCTTTAAATCCTAAGCTGTCACACTAGTCTCTGCTACTATATGTTCCCCTTGTTGTGATAAGCGGAAACACAGTAGTTACACTGGGCACAGTGTCCTGTTGGTTCACCTAGTGTTTGCTTTTCCCAGCGATTAAATGCTTTTGCTGCCCTGAAGTTTATGAGCTGATTTTATTGACCTTTTGTAAACCAGATGCTTTCTGATGCAGCACCGGGAAAACTGAGGATTGTCCATGGAGATGTGCTGACGTACAAGGTAGAAAAGGCTTTTCCAAACCATATTAGGAGACAGTGGGATGAAGGTAAGTGCCTTTGGGTTGGTTTGTTTGTTTTGGTGGAAGTGGCAGGGGTATGTGTGTCTGTGTTTGGTTTTGTTTTGGTCATATCACAGATAATTTGTTTCAGCTATCACCTATCATAATAAAGTGCTTGCTTTTACATATTTATGTGAAAACTACCTAAACAGAATTAAATAATGTGCATTGTAATTTTCTCTGCTTTCCTACTTTCTTTTTTTTTTATTAAATCCTTCTAATTTTAATTATTTGGATAAAAATGACTATACATTTTTTCCCTACTCCCCTCCTTCTTACAGAATTTTTTTTTTTAAGACAGAGTCTCATGCTGTAGCCAAGGGTGGTCACTCCTCATATAGCCCAGGCTGATCTTGAACTTGAGAAGTCTCCTGCTTTAGCCTACAAGTGCTGGCATTACAGGCATGCACTACCATACCTGGTTGAGTTTTCCCTAATTTTAATTTCCTTGTTTCAAGTATTCAAGTTGTAGTTTCTATGCAAATAAATTCTGTATTTTTATGACACTATACCAAGTATTGGTAACTATTTTTCAAATGTAAACCAGGCCACTCACAGACCTTTATCTCGTCTTCCTTTGTCTTCATAGTAGTGACTCTGACCAGCCCAGGCACTCCTCCTTCAAGGACAGATGTTTAGTAGGACCCTACAGTGTCCTGGAAGTGCAGATGACACAGGGCATGTGGACTGCTAGCAGAAACTCTGAGAATAAGTGGAAGAGGGCTTTTGCAGATCTAGCTGCTCCTGTGTGTCTCCCCGGGGTCAGGCTCCTCCAGAGGAACTCGTATTTCTAGTCAGTGGTTTCTTAGCACAGAGCCCCCAGTAGGACCACAGTCACCCTTCTGGTTCATCCATTTAGTGTCATATGTCACCTTCATGTCTCCATGGTTGTTGGGCTCCACCATTCTCCTCGACCTTTGGAAACTAACTGTTCTTTGTCAGTAGCTTGAGGGTTTGGAGTTTGTTTGTAGCATTTTGTTTTGTTTTTGATTTCTAGCCCACTTGTTTGTTTGATACTGAGATGTTTCTTTTACTGCATCTTCTCATGCTGCTAAGGATTTGTCTAGATTACCTATTCCTTTGGTTTTATTTCCCTCCTAAGCATTCAAATTTTAGGCTCAGCTTGTACCCCCCTCCTGGGTCTCTGATGGTCTGGCAAACCCCATGGGCACTTTAAACTCAGTGTATCTAAGGAAAGTCGCCTTTTCCTTCAAAACACCTCATTTTATGAACTTTTCTAGAACCCTTTCATCTATAAATACAAAGCTAATTGTGGAAACAATTACATTTTAAGAGAACTGAAAAATGCCAAGTCGTGTGTTTTCATTTGCCTTTATTTGATTATCATACTTCAATGTCAATGAAGCTATTAAGATCATACTCAGAATATGTCCATGTACTCATTCCAAATTGTCTTCTCCCCCAACCAAACAGATCCTCCAAATGTACACATCATTGGAAATCTGCCTTTCTGTGTCTCAACTCCCCTGATCATCAAGTGGCTTGAAAATATCTCTCTCAGAGATGGACCCTTTGTCTATGGCAGAACCCAGATGACGTTAACATTTCAAAAGGAGGTAGCGGAGGTCAGTCTTGTCTTTTTCTGGATATTTCATTGTATGGTCAAATTTCCAAACCAAATACTACTTCGTATTTATTACTGGCTGTGTTTTCCAAGTTAATACTTTTCCATTACACGTGGAAAAACACATCCAGAAGTTAAGACATGTAATGAAGATAGCAGACACAACCACTAGATGCTCCCAGTGGAGACCTTGTGTGTTCAGCACAAGGCCTACACTGCCGTAGACAAAATCCAAGAGAAATGAGAGCTGCAAGATGTTGATTTTACATTCATATGTTGGGAGTGGGCTGTGCCATCTTCAGATTGATCCTCCGCAATCCTTAGGATGACAGTGAAAAGATATCATAAATTTGGCACCCGATTACCCACCCCACTGCACACGTGTGCTCACACACACCCCTCATTTGATGCCTGCTATGCCTGCATTCTCATGGCCTGAGTGTTCTGAATTTATGAAGTGAATCTCCAGGGTGGACAAGGGTAGCTTGCAAGATAAGACAGCGAGGGCGAGCGTAGGGACAGATCTGCACTTGCAAACTCACTCTGACTCCATCTCCCCGTTACCAAGGTAATAAGGACTGAGTTTGGGATTGTTCCCCTCTGTAGTCTTGATAATAGATTTGTACCCATGTGTGTCATGTGCTTTAGGTTTGTCCACTCTTAAGCTCCATTTTAAAGGAGTCATCCAATACGTGTGTTTATTGTAAACATCTTAGTAGGATTCACACATGTGCTTATAGTTATCCTTTATTTATATTGCTCTCTGTCTTGGCTAAGCTTTCACTCTCGTAATCTGTCCAGTCTCATTGTTGGGGACCCAGGGTTTATATCAGTGCTTTACTATTGTGAACAGAACTGTCCGGAAAGTTCTTAGGCACAAGGGCCAGTTTGGGACAAGATATGTGCCCAGGAGCTTCAGTCTTGGTAGGTAATGCTTTACCATTTTTGTAGGTCATCAGACCTTTATACTCCTGTATAACAGTGTGTGCATGAGTTCATTTTGCTCCGTATTTTTGCCAGCTCCTGGTCTTACTAGACCTACACATTTTTTATTAACCTAGGGAAGTTGGTGTATTGTGCTGAGTTTTAATGAAATGGGGCACCGTTGCAGCTTGGGGTCACTTGAGTGTTTTACATTGAACTGCTAATCTTTCTGTTGGATTGTCTTGTGTTTGCTGGTATTCTCTGTACTAATGCAGTATACTTCAAATTGCCTTTCTCTGTGCTTATATTGTCCTTGTCTTTTTACAGTATCTTGAGAGTTAGACATTTAGTTTTTTTAACTTTTTTACTGACATGTATTAATTATACAAAATGATGGGCTTCTTTGTGACGCATTCTCACACACATATGTACTTTGGTTCTGCTCACACACAGACACACCCCATTACCTGCTCGTCTTTCCCCACTTTCCCACTGATCTCCTTTCTTGAAGATTAGACATTCTTAATTTTTAATTTGTGGTTGCTTCATATCTGAATAAATCATTTTATGTCTTGATTATGAAGGTATTTCCGTTCACTTGGGATTGATTTTTGTATATAGTAAAAGTAAGCTCTATTTTACTGTTGTTAAGCATATAAATTCCAGCCCCATTTATTGCCATCTGCTCTTTACAAGTCTCTTATCAGAAGTACTCTGCAGAAAGCTGTGCTCTGATTAGAGACATCAGGGACATGCTGAGGTGTCCCAGGAGCAGCAGGCTCTGTGAGACAGAGAAGGGGGTTCCTTAGGAAGAGCCCTCAGGTCAGGTCAGATCGGTTGAGAGAGATTAATTTGACCAAATACATGTCATGTTTGCATGTGATGAAGAAATAGTTACACCAGTTTGAGAAAGTTTAAGGCTGAATTACTGCTAAGTGAGCAGAGTATCCGATCCCAATGGGAGTGAAGCAGTGAAAGGCAAGGTTAGGGCAGAGGGCACGGTTAGTGGGTAGAGTTCTGATCGTGCCACACCAGTAGATTCGCTTCCTCCTGCTGTGATTATTTGGTATTTTTGTTCTTGAACAACACAATAGAGAGGCAAGTGTTGAGCTCTCTCTTTGAGGAAAGAGCGGAGGAGTGGAGTGGAGTAGTGGAGTCATGTTTGCAGTGACTCAGCTGGCAGCTCTGGGTTTTAATGATAGTGTTGTTTTGACTTCACCATAGGCAATTATTTTTCTTCAACAAAGGTTAATTTTAGTTACATTTTTACATGAATATTGAATTCATAGCAACTCTGTAATTTATGGAATACATTAGAAGTGTGGGTAACTGGTCCGTTCGACTGATGTCACATTTCTTCTACAGATGAGAGTCACGAGGGAAGACTGAGTAGTGCCATCGTCTTACATATCCTGTTTGCTCTGGATCACAATCCTGTGTGTGATATTCTAGATTTTAGCAACAGAAAGCATCTTTAACCTCGACTTTGTTGTGAGTTATAAAGCAGAATCCAATAAGTGCCCTCCTCTTAATTCTTTTTCCTAGGGTTGTAGGATGTAAACATAATTCACTCTGGATGCATTAAAGGGCGTCTAAATGGTGTTACATCTCAGAAAAGGAGTCAAGACTATGTAGCAGTAGTTAGAGCTTAACAAACCTCATCTGAACTCTCTCTATAATGAAAACTGACTGGGGTGCTTTATTGTCTTCACAGATTGGGCAGCACTTGAACTGGATCACAGGTCCTGTGTTTCCTAGGAGAGTCACGAGGTTCAGGTTCTCCATTGTGCTGGACCTGTGGGTTTTTAAGTGGGTCCAACATCAACCTCAGTCTTCTGTTTCCAGGAGACATTGGATGGTTGTGGTTACATCCCTAGAAGGGAAGATGTCACCACTCTCTTGATGACATAACATTCATTGTCCCTGGTCCAACATTGTAAATTCACAAATACAAATTGTTGAAGGGAGCTGCTTGTTCATTCCGACTGCCCAGAACCCAAATAATCACACACAAACTATATTATTTAAATCATTACTTGGCCCATTAGCTCTAGCTTCTTATTAACTAACTCTTACATATTAATTTAACCCATTTCTATTAATCTGTGTATTGCCACATGGCTGTAGTTTACTGGGTAAAGTTCTAGTGTCCGTCTCTGGTGGCTCCATGGCTTCTCTCTAACTCCTCCTCCTTTCTCTCAGCAGTCCAGTTTTCCCCACCTACCTAAGTTCTGCCCTATCAACAGACCAAGGCAGTTTCTTTATTCATTAATAGTAATCACAGCATACAAAAGGGAAATCCCACATCAACAAGTATAATTTTTCTCCTTACAATTATTTTAGATAAATAACAGAACAGAAAAAAAGTAAAAGAAATACTCTTCTTGGAAATTCTGTCTTGCCTTGTTTTCTTGTCCTTAGTGGCTTTTAAAGCTCAAGAGCTGATAGTTTCCTTCTACTGAAAACTTAACTCATTCAGTGTCCAGACCCCTTATTGTTAAAAAATCCTCTATTGATGGACTTTTGTGTTCATAGCTTTACCTGTGCTGTGTCTAAATAAAAATGGCAATACATATGTAAATGGTTATTAGCTCAGTAACTTCTCAGGGTAGCTTTTAGTGTAAAGTCTTTGCAGGCTTCCTGGACTGTGACTTGACTTTTTGCTCAATGGATTAACAGTTCTGTGTGCTGCTTTGTTCTAAATTAAAATATCTCCACAACCTGGTGTACTTGCTAGGGATATTGACTAGACCCAGAGTCTAGATTAGAACACCCCCATTTCTAACTGTCCTAAGTGCTTCATGCTCAGAGTAAAATATATTTAACTGTGCTTTAAGTCCAGTTAGAATAATTACACCCATTTCAGGTTTTTGCTTTTTAAAGTAATTTTTAAATTCTTTTGAATTCATCATTGGAAACACATCTTTCAAATGTAAAGTAGCATATTAGCAATGCCTTAAGAAGGAAATCCATGATGGCCAATTCTTTGGGTTAATTTTTAAATTTCATGGTTATATTTTTGCTGGATTGTAGTTTTAAAGATGCTTTTATCACTCACTGGGCACTGTAGATCGTGCTGTAATCCAAGCACTTGGGGACTAATGCAGGAGGTTTTATTTGAGAATATATACATCTCTTGCCTTTATATTATACTGAGGAGCAACTTTCTGTCTTACATGCTGTAGCACTTCATTATCTTGAACTCGGTTTCCTAATCATTTCTGCTTTGACAATGAAGATAAAATGGGAAGGGGTGGGGTGGGGGTGACAAGATGGATGGGAGATGTCAGCCTAGAAGCTGTGCAATCTCCAGACAGGTCAGAGGAAATTCCTCAGTTTCTCAGCCACAACCTTGTTTGTTTCATTTCAGTTTATATATTTTATTTTGTGTGTATGAACGTTTTGCTTGTACATATGTACACATTCATGCCTACTGTCCAGGGCCCCCAATGGATCTCCTGATACTGAAGTTATAAATGGCTGTGAGCTTCCGTGTGGATGCTGAAATCAAACCCAGGTTCTCTGTAAGTGCAGCAAGTGCTTTAACCACTGCATCATCTCTCCAGCACCCCAAAGTTCATTTTAGTCTTAAGATAAAGTTCTAAAAAGCCAAATTATATGATTTTTTTTTTCATGCCCAGAACAGGGTAGATGCAGCAATGGAAATGAGCTATTAGATTAGTTGATGCCCATCAGTGACCTCGGAGAGTGGAAATCCAACAGCACCTGCTCTGGGAGCACTGACGGTGGCCTAGCATGGACATCCTGTCCTGTGCCTGGCTTCGGGCGTTCCAATCATTACTAGTGTCCGTGACCTTGATCCTAAACAGATCACTAGAGTTTTGGGATGTCTTCAGAGCTCAAGAACACAGAAACATGGTACATTTTAGAAAGATGAGTGATCTTTGAACCTATTACTCTCAGTCTTACCCAATTTTCACATATTTTTATTGCCTTTCCCATAATATCAAATGGTGTGTGTGTGTGTGTGTTTATAGCCCTTCTTCCTAGGGTTTGAACTGTGTGAAAAGTAGTAGTTGCCGTTCCCACACATCTCCTATTTGTATTGTAGGTATGTATGTAGGCACACACAGAAATCCTAAGGTCTTTATGTAAGCATTATATCACACTGGTTTTTGCCACTTTAAAATCTATACTCTATTGATGGACGTAACCTATGCCAGTAATCCCTGTTACCCATTTTAACAGTTATTTCATATTCATTTACCTGTTGGTAGAATTATAATTTTCAACTTTTGGGATATGTGCATAATGCTGCAGAGGACGTATATCTTTTGTGTAAGTGATATGCTTCAGCCTCTATTGACAAATTATTGTCCAACATTGGCGTATAAATACCAGTTTGTGCCCTTTCCTCTCTCACTGCCAAGCGTAGAATCCTTGTAGCATCTAATTCTTTCTACCCTTGACGAACTTTTTTATAGTGTTCCATTTGTGAAATTATGGATTGTCTTGGCTTTAATTTGCACATCTCTGCTTTTTTATATGTGTGATTTAGTTAATGGTTATAATTCATTGATCTGTCATAGTTTGTCTTATATCTCCTGGTTGTTTATCTTATGGTTGGTAATGCCTAGTGTGTAGGCATCTCATTCATATTGTGACCACTAATTCTTTGGCCCTCTAAACACAATTCTGAATGTACGATGTGTCTTGATAGTGTTTTGATTGAAAATTTTAACAGAAAAAGATCTATCTTTTGTAGCTTCTGCTTTTGCATCTTCTCCACTTTGGGTCATAGATATTACCTGCAAAAGACTGAAATTTTGTTTTTCATTTATCATTAATTAAATTGCAGTTTGTCTTGTCTCTGTAAATGCTTAATTCCACCCATACCATTTAATGAATGGTCTGTCCTTCTCTTTTATTAAGAGAATCTCATCTCTTGTGTGTCAGAAGCCCACATGTGCTTGGGTCTTTTTGTCCTGTTGGTCTGTCTCTGTTTGTAGCAATACTGCCTTAATTTTGATACAGGTAGGGTGAGTCTCCCATGAGCATTGTTGGTGTTATTCAGGAGTGTCTTGGCCATTCTTGATACTATATAATTTTATCTGAATTTTAATTTTATATATGTTATATATGGAAATTGAAGTTCTTTTTAAAAGTATGATTGAGATTTTCATGCAAATTACATTTTATTTATCAGTTTTTTATGTGCTGAGTTCAGTTCAAAAATGAGTGTTTGGGTGGTCAAAAGGAAATGTCCTAATTTTTGCATAAATTGTCAAGAACAGCCTGTATTTCAAAGGTGCTTGAATAGTCAAAGTTTTTATACTTAAGGAAGCACTTTTAAAACCATCTTTATAGTCCTTCTTTATTTGCTAATTTCTTCATACAATGTTTATTAATTGTTTACTTATGACTTTCTGTTGTAGAATATAGCAGTAGCTTGAAAACCTCAGACAGTCATTTATAGTGTTTATGTGAGTTGTTTCAGTGCTTATACATGGTACTATTGACACTTCTACAGCCTGTCTTGCTAATGATGTTTGTTTACATGGTTTGTGTCAGATAGCGTGGGGGGTGTGTGTGAAGCATAATAATTGTCTTGAGTCAGATGTGCCTAGTCAAATGGGATTAACTGTTTGCTTACTTTTGGCCTTCTATAGAGACTTGTAGCCACTACAGGAAGCAAACAGCGCAGCCGCCTTTCCATTATGGCCCAGTACCTCTGCAAGGTTGAGCACCTCTTTACCATTCCAGGGAAAGCTTTTGTTCCCAAACCAGAGGTGAGTCTTTACGCGTTTGTGTTAGTTCATGAGTGTGACTTGTTGTATTTGCTCCCCTGAAGAAAGTTTGCAGGAAACGGTCTGTAAGATCTAACACTTAGCTGCAGCTGTCCTAGTAGAGCATGAAATCTACTAAGTAATAGAATTAACACATTTTAGTCTCTCTTCTGATGACACGAGTTTAAATTATTCATTCGCATAAACGCTCTTTTCTCTTTCTAAGTCATTAATAATGCACAATCCTTTTTCTCTTAGAAGTTGTATTATGAGCAATGAATTAACAAACAAATTACTGGAAAACCTACAGTGTTCTTTGCACCAATGGGAAGTCCAAATTTTTGATAGAATATCCTAGTTGCATGTCATAATTTAAATGTATATTTTAAAAACTTTCTTTGTACTTTAAAAGTTATTTTGCTTCTATTAACTGAAGATGCTCATTTATAAGATAACGACAGTGATTTGTTAACTTGAATAAAATTTGAGGAAAAAAGTACAGCTTAAAAATGACTGAGCCAAACATAGTGGAGCATGTCTCTGAGCCCCAGCACACAGGAGGCCGTCTGGCTTCTCCAGTACCTTGTATGGGGGAAAACTGTGGCTGAGTCAGATAGTGCTAACTGTGAGATTCATTGGGATAGGGTAAATATAAATAATTGGGGAAATGAACTTAATCTATTTTCTAGATGCAGAAGAGAGAGCAGCCCTTGGGTATTTAAAGCAAGCAGAGGTCTTATTAGTCGGTCTTATTATGTACTTAGAAAGTGCCATATTTTAGTTTGTGCTTATATTGGCTTTCGTATGCTGCATTAGCATCTACCAGCTCATGAATCGTATCTAATTTTAGTTTGCATACATTATATCATAACACATGATAAATTAGGATGGAAGCTGGGGCTTGGGGCTGATGGCTTGGGCAACATGTACATGAGTTCTGGTCCTCTGTACCGGAGTCTCCTCCACATCCTATGGCTTTAAAACAGAAACTGGCTACTCAGGCATTGTCCACCAGAGGGCAGACCAGGAGATATCCTTGATCAACACCAAGGGAAGGTACTTTTTATACTTAATAATTACAAAAAAACTAATCTAAAATATATCTTTAAAAATAAATTAATTCTGTCACCCGTCGCCTTATTAATATAGTCAGACCTCTTTCAATTATATACTTCTAAATAAAACATGAATGCAATAATAGGAAAATAAATTCAAGACAGATATAATTGTATATGGTAGTTTGTTGTCATTTTAAAGTACCTCATAATTTTTTTTAATATTTTGTCCTCTTTGTAAAGAAAGTTGAGCGTAAGAGTATTTTGTCTCGTTTTCTTCGTTCTAACAAAGTTTTAGCAGGCTCCCAGAGCTTCGTTGCACGTCCACAGCACAGCTCTTACACGTAATCCTTCAGGTTATATGCTAACCTGTTCTCTGGCTGCCAGGTCGAGGCCTGTTTCTGCCTGGTGGGGTAGATCCGTGGTTTCGGGTTCTTTTTTATATAAGAAGTGCAGAAAATAATACCAGAGACAAGTAGTAGCACCGCCGAGATGAACCCGACGTAGACAGCTCCTCCGGGTTCATATCTGTGGCTTTTCGGAATGGTCACGTCTAGAAAGTTTTCTATGATCTCCTTGGTGTACCACACTGTTGGGATTAAGCCAGCGATCCCTGCAACCACGAAGCAGACTCCTCCAGCCAAGGAGATCTGGCTCTTGGTGTATGTGTCCCCACCTAAGTGAGTGCATTTCATCCCCACTACAGAAGTGCAGATCCCCAAAGCAGACAGAACGCAGGCCAGCACCATGGTGGCCCTGGCCGTCTGTACGTGGACGGGTAGAGACAGGATGGAGTATTTCAGGGTACAGCTGAACATCCCGGTGCTGTACCATGTGCAGTCCATCCATAGCCCGTGCACCTGCACGATAGCAGTTACGATGTTGGAGCCTGGCTCTGCACTGACCTTCCAGTTGGGCAGCATAGTGGCAGTGAGTACTCCAGAGACCCCAGATAAGGCCAGGATGAAAGCAAGGAGCTGGAGACCCGCTGAGGCCATGATGTTACTCTTAACTTCTGTTCTCCTAGAAGATCCCAGTGATTAATTGTGGTGCGTGGTCAAATCAGGAGCTATGCTGTGGAGTGGAGAACCAAATAACAAAAGCTAGGGAAAACAGAATAGAATTGGAGGAACAGGAGAATAAGTTAACAAAGTCTTCATACAGGAGCCAGAACATACCTGAATAGCACCCGTGTCTCCATGCTGCATACATACACACGCACATAGGCACACACAGAGAGCAGATGAGGATGCTGCTATCTCAGAGAAAGGTTCCTAAGTGGGCCTGCGGAATAGCATTCTACTGAGTGAGCTTCACACGAAGTGCTGAATTTGGAGCATACTGTAGTTATCCACGTAAGACCCTAAGTATTCTGAAAATGTCTATGAAATGAGCATATACCTTTTTAGGCAGTTTAGACACTTCAAATTGTGGCTGTAGTATCTGATACAGAATTTTATTAGCATTGTAGATCATTTTAAATAACTTTGTTTTAATGAAAATAAGTCATAAGCAATTAAAAGCTTAAATCTACCTCCTCTAAATAATTTATAGATATAAGAAAAGTTAGAAACTGAAAAATGGTTTGAATTAAATCTTCACTCAGCACACACCATGTGTGCCTGAGGGTCTTGTTGAAGGAGAAAGAGAAACTGAAGAACTTTAGAGTCCTGCACAGTCCTTACCTAGGTTAGCATTTATTTAGCATCATGTCCCTGGTACTAGCTTATGAGAATGTAAGATCCTTTCTACTTGCAACCAAAGTCCTTCCCACATAACAATCCAGAAGAAGTGTTCAGCCACGAAATTGGCTCCCCTGAGTGATTCAGATGCAGGAACAGAAGACCTTGAAAGTCCGTGCCAGAAATAGCCACATAGTTGGCTGTAGGTAAAAAAAAATCAGCCCCACCCCTTGTTTTACTTCAGAACAGCTTCCTACTTCCGTGTTCATATTCCTGTTCACCATATGACCACATCTGACAGTGTGTGCTGCTCGGTGAACGGTGTAAAGTCTCGGGAATGCTGCGGTATTGGCTTATTTTTTGTCTTTCTGAAACAATTGTTAATGATATGCTGCGCTGACTTAGGATTCTCATGCACGCACTCTTCACATAGCTGGAGGTGGTTCTTGGTTTCATGTTATTTCTCTATATTTGAGCATCCTTCCAGAAGTGGGACTTTAGGGGCTTTTCTTTTCCTTCCGTGGACTGACTTAAGTTTCTTAGAGTCCTAGAGCTTAGGGAAGCCTCAGCTGTAATCTTGAGTTTCATTACTTTGTCCAATCAGTGAGCTCAGGTGGAAACCTCCATGCCCGTCTTCTATGGAGCTGCCAGGTGCAGCTCTTGTTAAATACCTTAACAAGATAATCTGGGCCTGTGTGGAAACCACAGACCTGCCATGGCTACAAGTGAGTCTCGAGGTCATCAGGGCTTCCTCTGCCTAGACTGACTTCTAGTTTTGTCACTCCCATGATTTTAGGAGTCTCTGAGATTTTACATTCTTCTGAGTCAGTGTGTGTACAAACCTCAGTGATCTTAGGGTGTATCTGCTGCTAAGCTGTTTGATCCTTTTGTTTGCCAGATTTTCCCACCTCTAACCAACAGAAAGTTAAAAGCTTAAGGGTCGGGGAGAGCAGGGATGAGCATATGTGTATTCAGTTGTACACTAGCTTCTGAGTTCAGGCACGTGTGTACAGTTTTACACGAGCTTCTGAGTTCAGGCACGTGTGTACAGTTTTACACGAGCTTCTGAGTTCAGGCACGTGTGTACAGTTTTACACGAGCTTCTGAGTTCAGGCACATGTGTACAGTTTTACACGAGCTTCTGAGTTCAGGCACGTGTGTACAGTTTCACACGAGCTGCTGAGTTTAGGCACGTGTGTACAGTTTTACACGAGCTGCTGAGTTCAGGTGTCAGTCACCGAGACTGTTTCACAGTCTTTCCTGCCCAGGAGTTTTCCAGCAGTTGAGGTCACTGTTAACACTCCCTAAGATCATTTTGATGCTTGCTTTCATTTTTGCTTTGCTGGGAAATTTTAATATGATCATTCTATCCAGCTTTTCCATCATAGCCCTTTTCATTCCATCAAACAATGTTTCCTAAATGTCAGTATCATGCAGACCTGCAAGCAGTTGTTGTCATAAGTAACAAGTCCTGGCAGCAATAAATTGCAGACAGGCAAGCTAGCAAGTAAATACTAAGACACTGCATCTAGTTAGCACAACGCTTGCTTCCTGCAGAAGATGACTTCACATCCTTCTTGTGCATAGAGAGTTCTGTTTAAAACATGTTCTCTACAGTGAAGGCTCTTCCTGCTCCAGGTTCACTGCTGCACTGGCGCTTTCTCCAGCCACAGGCATAGTAGTTTGTATGGCGGGCTCCTTCGGTGTGGTGGGGAATCAGAGGTGTGGTGACAAGAGCAGTATAGGAACCACTGTGGCCGTCCCTCCAAGCATGGGGCACCGATGGGAACTGGAACCTTTAGGACACATTTCCAGCACACTTCACATGGAGAACAGAACCTAGAAATGTCCAGTCTATGAACTGCTTGCTAAAAAGAAATTTGCCCTTTTTTTTTTTTTTTCAAAATGTAAAGCCAGCTTTCCAGAAAAGATTCATTTATACCAAAAATACTTTAAGACAGATACGTAACTTCCAATTCAAATGCAGCAGTAGCCACAGTTCTGGACTTAGCTGCCTGCACAGTCTAGAAGCTCCCCATACCTTTGCCAGTAGCCCTCCCACCCCAGTCTTACCTGCCCTGTGAGCTGACTCCCGATGTCTTCAGGGTCTGGTGCCAAGAAGCCACACGGGGGAGGCTGGTTCTGCAATCTGAGCATTGCCCGTGAAGTGCCCACAAGTTAGAGGGAAATAGCAAATAAAGAGTTCCTTCGAGATGAGGCTGAGAACTGCTGACGGCGCTAAAGATAAATACCAGGTTCTGCTCTCAGTCTGAGCTGTGGGAGACTCAAGAAAGGAGAGGCGGGGAAGCGAGGGAGTTGAGCCCTGACCGCTGCTATGCTGCTCCGCACGGAGGAGGATTATCTGGGTGCTCACAAAAGGCCGCCTTTTCTTTTCATGTTCTGTTTTAGTCATAGTTATAATTTAGTTTTGAATTTTTGTCAGTGTTGGAAGATGCGGTTCTGTGTCCTTAGTTAAAGAATGCCGTCTGAAACGGGTCAGCCGGATGGCGCTCTGCAGACGCTAGTGAGACTGCCGCTTTCAGGTTTCATTCCGTTGCTTCTTGTCTTGTGTGAAGCTAACACTCCCAAAATTGTTTAAAAACCACTCAGAAGAAATTTTTCCTTAAGATTTTTAGTTAATAAAAGAAAGTGCAGCTTTTGGGTAGAGTGTGGTCCATAAACCCTCAGATGTGGTGCTCTGCCTCAGTCTCTCCCCCGAGAGTCTCAAGTACAGCTGTGTGAGCTGGACTTCAGGGAACGGGAAGACACTGTACAAAATGATGACATGAAGCATGGCAGTAACAGCTCGGGCCATGGGCATGTCTGCAGGTGTTTCACTCGGCCCTTTAGCTTAGCTTTCTTTCTTAATAATTTTAATTTTACAGGTTATAAATCACATAGCCGTTAGGCAGAAAAGAATAACCATTTAATTAGATTTTTAAACTTTACAGCCTGTTTTTGAAAATCGTTTTTTTCATATGGCATATTCCAATTATGGTTTTTCCCTCCCTTCACTCCTCCCAGATGATTCCTACTTCCCCACCCACCTAAATCCACACCCTTTTCTCTCATTAGAATACAAACAGCCATCTACAAAAAAATAGAAGTGATAATAAAAATAAGAAAAAAATAAAAAATAATCGAACCAAAAAAAAAGCCAATGAGAAAGCACAAGGAACACACAGACGCTAAGACATGTTAGATGTTAGTGGTTGCATTAAGAGAAAGCCATGTTTCAGATGTTCGAGTTTTCCCAGTGTTCTCTTGGATCTGCTTTTCTTTTCCCACTTTGACATTTAGCAAGTTACTGTTTTTCTCCCTTGGAGGAGTAGCGTCTGGATTCTTCTAAGCTGTACTGCCCTTTAATAAAGACTTGATCATGTAGAAGTATGTGAACCATTCTGTAGATGTTTGCCGGGGTGTACTTTACTATGTTAACAGCACTGTTATTACTGCTGCTTCAGAAGCAGCCTGGGCACTCCCTTCAGGGCCTGGTGTGGACTCCTTCCCGGGGCTGCCTGATGCACCCTTTAGCTAGCAGAAGAGAGGTAGATGGACGGACCTCCTCGTGGTCCTGACAGCCTGCGGAGCGAAGCTTAAAGAGGAGCATATTTAGAAATGTAATACAGAGCGCTATCAGCTTCTGATGTGGATATTAAAGAGTCTTTGAAGTCCACTGAAACTGTTCAAGATAAATATTATATTCCCTTAGTGTAGGGCCTTCTCCGTGAACTCCCAAGCTGTGCTTCCATCTGCTGACTTGACAGGACCGGATTCAACGATTTGCAAAACTGTCCCTTTTACCTTCCCCAAATGTACTCTGTGTATGTAAAAGCTGACACTCCCTGCCATTTGGTAAGGCTTAAATCTTAAATGTCATCCTTGTTTCCGTACACAGCATACATTTGTTCAACACTGTTTTGAGTCTGACTTTAAAGTAACTCAGAGCCTCTCCTGCCTTTCTGAGGCTCAGCAACATTGCAATGTAGCCCTGCCACGGGGAAGGCCTTCTGCCCACCTAACAACACCAGGGCTCCTGAGTTGGGCATGGTCCTGGGTCATAGTGCAGTCTAGTAAGTATTTGTGGATGAAAAATTCATCACTGCTTTTCAATATATAAAGTATTAGTTAAGCTATAAATTGCTTTTGAATGATCAAAAATAAATTTAATCATTTCTAAACAGGACTATAATTTCTCAAGTAATTTTGGAATTCTTTGGTTTGACATCTTTAATAATATCCACACTTAAAAACCTAACTGCTAAAACTATATACTGTTTAAGGCACCTATAACATCTAATTTCCAGACAACCTGTGAGGTAAAAGGAAGAAAACCCAGTTAGTGGCTTAACTGTGGTTGTAATGACTAAGTTGCAGGAATGGAAACAAGGCCCAGCCCAGTACAGCTTCTGATGCAATGTGCACTCCAGCACCTCTTTAGAAAGTGTGTGTGTGTGTGTGTATGTATTGTGTACAGCCACTTCACACTTCAACTCTAAACCCCCACTTACTACTCAAGCTAAGTCTGTTTGGGGCAGAGTAGTTCCATCTATTTTCATTTATCTAAGGAAAGCTTTTGTGAGATCTTTTAACATGTCATGTTGATGATTGACTTCTTTCTTTCTGAAATCAGTGACTTAAGTATCCTATAAACATACCTCCATAGGCCCAGCAGCACATCAAGCACTTTGGGTTTTCCTCTGCCTTCTTATCACCTGCTCCTAATAACCAGTAATAGCCTCAGAGAATGCCAGGGTGTCAGCTCTGGGAGAGGAAATCTGAGGTTCCCTGAAGATGAGTGGCATCAATAAGGACTTTGAAAGCCACTAGCAAGACCATATTAACATGGAAGGTAAAACCTTATGGCATCCCACTAATACATGAACTAATATGTCTGCTGGAAGCTTCAGGTATTGTTCCAGCAGGCATATTATTGAGGGATTATGGGTGAGGCTTCCCTGTCATTCCCGGGAGACAACAATCTCATAGCAGATTCCTTGGTTCTCTGGCTCTTACAATACTTCTGCCCCTCTTCTGAGATGTTCCCTGAGCCTTAGATGTAAGAGTTGTGTTGCAGATGTGTCCAGATGTGTTGCTGGGAAGCCCAAGATCACTTGTTCTTTACATAGTGACCAGTTATGGTTTTCTGCAGTGGTCTTTGTTGCAGAGGGAAGTTTCTGTGAAGGGTGAGAGCGACGCCTCCTTTGGGTGTAAGGGTATTTAGAATGCAGTTAGCAGTTACACTGGTTTAGTAACGTATGGTAGCAAGCCCTCTGACAGCCATGATGTCACTGGCCCCAGTAGTTGGCTAAGGTTCTAGAACCAGCCATGATAACCCTCCTTCCTTTCAGGTTGTTACTTAGGGGCATCCTAAAATCAATCCAGGCTGTTGTTGTTGCCCTTGGCTGCTTCTCAGAGATGCAAGGTTAAGTCCCCATTGCTGAAGGTGCCATGCTCTTCAGACATAAGAGCTGGACGACCCAAGCTGGGTCTGACTTGAAAGCCTCTCCCTGTGAGAACTAGTTTTTGTAGTATTGGAAGGCGCTATGCCAACTTCTAAGGGAGGGAAGCATCAGCAACCCTGCCCACCTACAGTACTGATGAGCCACGATGAAGCCAGAGTATCTTAAGTATGTCTAGTTTCTTTTTCTTTCTTCCCTCTATTTCTGTCTTTTATTTCTTCTGATTTTGTTTTATTCTAACTCAATAGATTTGAAATTCAAGAGAAAAAAATAATGGTTGTTGTATTAAATAAGTGTTCAATTATAACTAAAAAGCACTTTATACCTGTTACCATAGTTACTGCACTTCCTGTGTGGCTGTAGAGAAAATGGCCTCCATCACTCAGAGTAATCTTAAGAAATGCTTTTGCACCAGTCGGTGGTGGCACATGCCTTTAATCCCAGCACTCAGAAGGCAGAGATAGGTGGATGTCTGTGAGTTCTAGGCCAGCCTGGTCTAGAAGGAAGGAAGGAAAGAAGGGAGGGAGGGAGGAAAGGAAAGGAAAGGAAGGGAGGGGAGGGGAGGGGAGGGGAGGGGAGGGGAGGGAAGGGAAGGGAAGGGAAGGGAAGGGAAGGGAAGGGAAGGGAAGGGAAGGGAAGGGAGGACAAAAGAACTGCTTCTGCAGGAAAGAGCAGAGAAAGTTCAGGAGTGACCTTCCCAAAGCCAGACAATTGCTAACTGAGCTCTCTACCAATGAGTTTTAGGGTTCTGCCATGAATTATTGTGCTTGTGAATGGGAATTTTCCGTCAGCTGTGATATAATGCCTATTTAACTGGGTAGCAGATTAATGTTCGAAGTCTGCTAGCTTATGTAGAATGCTGTGATAGTCAGCATTTTAGGGCTGTTTTAAATAAAGCAAGCATTAGAAACTCCCGTACTCGCAAGCAGTAACTGTATTGCAAAGGGATGATACTAAGTAGTAAGGATGAAGCCAATTTATAAAATCCACAAATACTGCTATAAGTGGCAGCTACGTTGCTACAAGATTGGATCATCCTTCCCAAATGTGTGCCTTTGGTCTTAGCAGCACTTGGACTCATCCAGTGTTCTGACACTTGGTCGTAGTTCCAGATTGGGTGGAGGCTATATTTGATCCATGCTGTTTGGGTTTTGTTTTCCTGCTGAAAGGTGATCTGACGCCATAGATAACTTCTTAGGTGACAGTGTATTGGGGAGAATCATCGGAGATGACTGAAGAAAGTGACAGGAAGAGAGACGAGGCAGGAATGTCTGTGGATACAAGTGTTATAGGGCCCAGGAGGCCAAAGAATGACAAAGCAGGGTGAAGTCTAGAAGATGCTCTAGGACCTTCCCAGACCTGGAGAATCAAGATGAATGGGCATGTCAAGGTCCATGGACAGTCATCGTGGTAAATCTTGGCTGCTTCTCCTTTCCAGTTTAAGGACCTGTTCCTCCCAGGAGTACCCTAAAAGTGAGCCATCCTTCTCTCCCTCCAACAGTGCCTGCCTTCTAAAAGTCCCAGCTATCTCTGCCACTCCCTCCTTACTGCTCTCTGTAACTACAAACTGCCTGTGTTTGCAGGGCTAAGGCAGTCTCACAGGAAGTGTATGTTAACTAGAATTGATAAAGAAACTTACAGAATGCAGTTGGAAAGTGTTTTAAGGTTATTAAGGAGAGGGTGGGGAAGGAATGTTATTGAGAACATTTAATATTGTACTTAGTATTCACAACAGCTCTTCACCATAATCTTCACCAAAGAGGTCTAAAGTTTGGATTTTTTATTTAATTAACATTTTTTTCCATTTATTTTACATGCTGACCACAGCTTCCCTTCCCTTTTTTCCCATTCCCTTCCCCATCCAGTCTTCTGTTCAGAAAGGGGCAGACCTCCCATGGGCTTGCACAAAGCAGAGCACCTGGAGCTGAGGTGGGACCGAGCTCCTCCTCCCCACATCAAGGCTGCAAGAGCTAATTCAGAAAGGGGAGCAGTTCCCTAAAAGCCAGCTAAGCACCAGGAGCTGGTCTCACTGCCAGGAGCCTTACAAATAGACCAATCTATACAACTGTCACATGGAGAGGGCCTTGGTTGGTCCCATGCAGGCTCCCTTACTGTTGGTTAAGGGAGTCAGTAATCTCCCAGTTCAGATCAGTTGTCTCTGTGGCTTCCTCATCATGACCTTGGCCCCCCTGGCTCATTCAGAGCCTCCTCATCTTCAGCAGGACTCCTGGAGCTCATCAGCACAGTACTTGGCTATGGATTTCTGCATCTGCTTCCATCAGTTACTGGATAAAGGCTCCCTGATGACAATAGGGTAGTCACTAATCTGGTTACAGTAAAGGGCCAGTTCAGGTACCCTCTCCACTATTGCTAGGAGTTTTAGCTGGGGTCATCCTTGTGAGTTCCTGTGGGTTTCCCTGGCACCAGGTTTCTCCCTAACCCTGAAATGCCCCCCATCAAGACGTCTTTCATTACTCTTCCCTTCTGTCCTGCTCCCAACCCACTCCCTGAAGTTCCCATTCCCCCACCCCCACCCCACCCAGGAGATCTCTTCTGTTTCCTTTCCAGGGAAATCCGTGCATCCCTGTTTGGGCCCTGTTATCTAGCCTCTCTGGGGCTGTGGATTGTAGGTTGATTATCCTGTATTTGGTGTAGAAAGGTCCTCCCCAGGACCTTTAAACTTTTGTTTATAACATTCTTGTGTGTTTAGCCACACCATCCTCGTGGTCAAAGATTTACTGTCTGCTACATCCAGTTGGTAAACTACAGGGGGTGGAGCTTTAGCAACAGGGTCAGTAGCTCTGGAGAGGAGTTTTGTGGGCCAACTGACCCGGTGAGGCAAGGCAGACTGTGGGAAACACTGTTGCGGTGCCCAGGGGGCCTGCTCACATGAGATCGAGCTCATCTTCAGCTGCTTTGCTCTTCCAGGCCGAGCTCGTGTCTTAGCTCTTTATTTTTCTTCCCATGGAAAAGCAAACCAGTGCGCCCCCAACATACATGTGTTGCCGGCCAATTTTAAAGGAGTTGTGTGGCCACAAGAATTTTGCAAAACCCATCAACCTGAGAGAAAATGATAGCCTGAATGGGAGGGACTGGAGAGCAGACTTTATTTTGAAAAGCAGCTGCCCACCCACGCTGCCTAAATTGTTGTGCTTTCTTTGCTTCTGGAGCAAGTTAGCAATGCCGGAGGCCATTGCTTTATTCACTTAGAGGCTTCCACTTCTGTAGAGGCCTCCAGGCAGCTCTGCGTGGGCGCTCTCCAGGGCTGTTTTGACCCCGCTGCGCCCTGTCTTTGCATTTCTACAATTGTTACATTGTTAGTGATTCTCAATGATTCATTCATGAGTCCGTTTTTGGAAAAGGGCTGGAGATAACTCTTTACCACATATGCCTGAAGTCTAGTCTTCTGTAATTACATGATCTCAACAGCTGGTAGCAGCTTAAACCCTGTCCAACAGTGACATCTTAAAAATTCTGTCTTCCTTCTCAGTCCTGCCTCTGCCTCCTGGTGCATGTAAAGTCACTACTGAAAATCCTGGGACTGCGTGAACTCTGCACATGAACTTAGCCCAGCTGAGTAATCAGCCTCTGTCCTCAAAATAGCTGGTTTCCCAATCATCCATTTCTGGCAAATCCAGCACTAAGTGGTCCTTGGGGGATCCTGGCCTACAGTCAGAACTGCTGCTTCAGCTTACTCTACTCATCTGAAAGCTAAGATGCTCATCCCACTGCCAATGGCTGCCTGCCTACTGGCCTGGGCAGTTACGCATATAGGCTTTTACAGGCCATTGCAAATGAAGTGACTGTCGGGCACAGGTCTAGTGGACACTTTTCTGCATAGTTGCAGCCCCCTGGGATTTCTGCAGACCCCCAAAACTTAGCTTGTGTGTCCAGAGAAGACACAGGCCCATAAATGGCTCCTGAGAACTGCTAGAGAGCCCACATCCTCTCTGTGATTTTCACAGATGAATTGACTAAGGCAAGGGACATAGCTTGGCGTTAGAGGGCTTGCCAGGCAGGCAGGAAGCCCTGGGTTGGATCCCCAGGACTAGAGAAAAAGTTGCAATTACAGTTTTGCTGTTTGCTCTCAATGAAGGTTGACGTAGGAGTGGTACACTTTACACCGTTGATACAGCCCAAGATCGAGCAACCATTCAAGCTGGTAGAAAAAGTTGTTCAGAACGTATTTCAGTTCCGGAGGAAGTACTGCCACCGAGGGCTTGGGTAAGAACCCTTTGTGACTTTGACTCTTAAACAACATGTATGACTCTGGCTCTTGGTTTAGATCCTGTGGTGACCAACATGTCACCACCACTGAGGAAAAGCCCCAGATTCACCTTCCATATACAGGTTTGGTATGGTTTGGTCTAAATACAACCTAAAACACACACGTGCACAGCTTCTGCTGACTCGCTGCTAGGAAGGCTTCTCAGGCAGGACTCAGTGGGTTGCTGTCTCTCTCCTTAAGGACGTGCTTGAGAACTAGGTAGAAGCAGACATACCTTCCTAGCTGACATGATGTCATTGCAGCGTCCTCGGCCTCCACTCAGTGGGAGCTCTTGTCAGACTCACTGCTCCACACAGGCACACGTGCCTTCTAGAAAAGTCAGACTGAGCCCCAGCCCTGCAGCCACCACACCCATTCCTTCTCACCTAGCAGCTTTTAAGACGTTTAGTTAGGTACACTTTTTAATAGTCAACGGATAGCTGCTGAAAAGGGCTTGGCTCGTAGCACACACTTTCTGAGACTTACACAGATCCATTTTGGTTCTCTGTAGGGCTGTAAGAAGTTTGGGTTAGTACATGAAATGATTTCAGGTGTGTCAAAGCAACTGCATCCTGAAACCAGTGCAACCTGTAAAACCCTCTTTTGATTATGAATGTCTATTCTAATAAAGTAAAACTCATACATCTGTACATATTAGCTCTAATTGGAGGTGGCGGGAATCACAAGTACATCTTCCTTTTGAAAATCCTGGAATTTATGGTGAGCCTAGTCCTACTGCTTTCAAAGCAACTCCCCCCAACCCCTAAACTCAGTAATGGGCCCTATTCATCTGAATACGCCTTCCTCTACAGAGACATGGACCAAATACCAAAATTCACTTTAAAGGATGGTGGTCCTTCAGTCACACCATACTACAAAGTGCTCCCAGGTGTTAGAAACTAAGTCATCTCCCCTTAGAGGTTGGGGAGTGTGCATCACCATCAGCCTGGGAGAATTCTTCCTTCACTGACCATGGCCTCTGCCAAGCCCTTTGGATGAGCTCCATGGGCAAGGTCCAGGCATTTAAGTTTACTCTTGAAAAACTGTTGACTGTTTAATTAAATTTAAAATGCACACTGAGTTTTAGAGATGATTAACTGTTTTCATAACAGACAACTTAGCACTTTCTTTTGGAGAGGGTTTTAAAGACTTTAAATACATCCAGGTTCTAGAGAATCAAACTGTTTGTTTTAGCTTGGGAAGACAGTTTTCCCTCTGTGGACACAGCTTGCAAGTCTTAACTTAGACCTGCTTCCAGTGAGTCACACAGGGAGTCTTTGGGTACCCAAGAGGCTCCAAGAGCCTCAGGCACTATCAGTGTGTCATTTTGAAGTTTATGCAAAGATACCTTGATCAACATAATTTAAGTCAGCCCCTCCCACTTTCCTTTCAGAATGCTCTTCCCTGAAGCTCAGCGCCTGGAAAGCACTGGAAGGCTGCTACAGCTGGCGGACATTGACCCCACCCTCCGGCCCATCCACCTCTCGCTCATGCACTTTAAGAGCCTGTGTAACGTGTACAGGAAAATGTGTGAGGAAGACCCGCAGCTCTTTGCTTATAATTTCAGAGATGAGCTCAAGCAAAAGAGAAGAAAAGGCCAAGGGAAAGATGAGGACCCAGAAAGCTGGGAGTCCTAACGGCTGCTCTGAGGGCTCCACATCCACAGTGTGGGTCCTCTGCATCTGGAAAGACAAACACCAGTGAGTAACCAGATGACTTACTTGCATGCCATTACTTAAGAAAATAAATAGCAAGTAGATACAGTACAAGCTGTCCTTTAATATATACATACTGCATAGATGCGACATGTTTCGTATAAACAGCATTTATTACAACCTGCAAAACTGAAATATCTGCACATTGTGCCCCTAAACCACATAAAAATAACTTAAATGTGCTTTAAATAAAGCAAAAAACTAACAGCTTAAAGAAAATGCCCAGAGGATTGAAGGAGGGACCCTTTTAAAAGCCATTAATCACAACTTTCCCAAGCTTCCTTCTCCCACATAACTTAAAATAATTAGAATTCAGTTCTATTACAAGACTAAATCATTTGATTCCTGCTCAAAAGGGATGTAATACACAATTTACAGGTTCTAATCTCTAGTTTTCTGATCCACAATAAATTAAAATAACTTAAATCTTTACAGCAAGTTTTGTGGAAGAATATATACTACACGAACCCAAACGCAGCTGGTGTCCTGCAGTTCTGTTTCTCACCGGTTTACAAATGCGCACTGTAACCTGCCACACACATCCTACGATTTGCCGTGGCTCTGTGCTTCGTAAAAACACTCCTCATTAACAACCGAGGTTAAACTCTGGACACTGAACTCTCGCTCCAGCACCAAATTTAGATCGATGCTGGCAGTTTCGGGGTGGCTGTCAAGCGACTGGTGGCGAGTCTGCGTCTTGAGCAAGGTCCCTCTGCCCCTCTTGGTGCTGTTTGCTTTTCGTTTAATGGGGCAAAAGTGGCCCCTGACCAGCCTGGGCTGCTCACCTGGCCCCGTAGGCTGTGGCCCAGCTGGGTTCGTGTCGGGCTCCTCGGAGATTCTCAGTCTCTGGAACTGAAGCTCGATGTCCTTAGTAGGGCTGCCCTGTTTCAGAGGGTGGTGGAAGTCCTCCTCTTCATCACTCAGAATGTCACTTTCTTTGATGAGACCATCTGGAAACTCTGCCAGGCCCTCCTGAGGGTCCTTCTCCAGCACGGTGCTCTTACAGTCCGGCCTGTTCTCCGCCACTGGGCAGCCACTGCTCTGGCCGCTACTCAGGCTACACTCGTCCGAGTCCAGTGAGTTGCCCTTGCTGGGCTCGCTGGGCCACTCGCTGCTGGAGGATGTTCTGAGGACCTTCAGAGACCTGGATGATGCTAGAGAGAAAAGCACATTCCTCCATGTGACACAAATAGATTCTACAGTGTAGAGTTAGGACTGATGTCTGTAGGGGTCTCTTGGAGCCCAGGCTGGCTTCTCAGTCATTGTGTTAAACTTCTGTGCCTCCTGCCTCCTCCTGAGTGCTGTGATTACAGTGTACACCACCACACCTGGTTCTGTGCATGCTCAAGAGCCTGCTGAACGCTGGGCAACCGCTGTGCCCGCTGAGCTACACCCCCAGGCATATCTGAAATTCTTAAGTTGCAATTCAGCATTCTTTTTTTTTTAGATTCCAAGAGCTTCACCATATAGATAGAATAATAAAGTACCAACTACCATAAAGGCTAGGATTACTTATTTTGCCAATGAGTAAATTGAATAGTTAATCACTAAAAAAAAGTTAGATTACACTTTTACTACATTACCTAGATCTGAAACTATTATACCATATCTCTATGCTTAGCCTCTCTGTTTATTTCCCTAGATGCTCCATTAGAAGCTGAAAATGCTCTTATCTCCCTTGAGCATTGAGCATTGTCACTGCTGGGATTTATAACCAACTTGAAGAGAATTAACATTGTGCACTCGTAATTGTGTGGGAGGGAGATATTCACTGACTTGTTCAAAGGGAATTCTTAGTTTGAATGTCCCTATAATTCATTAGCACCACATTCGTTTTGATGACCATAGATGATTTTGACAACAGAGATCAAATTGGGGTGTGTGAGAGAAAGGGAAAGGGAAAAAAGTATGCCCTGTAAGATTACAAACAAGACACCCTGGTCTACAGAGCTAGGTCCAGACAGCTAGGGCTGTTATTACGCAGAAATCTTGTCTCGGGGAAAAAAAAATAGAAAAAGAACAAAGAACTCAAGGGTTGCTAGGTGGGAGAGTGCACATGAACAGTATATTCTAGTATATTCTAGGCGACCTGCTGCAGTGATTGCATAAGAATGAGCCTATTCGTCTTGTGATCGGAATTAAGTATTGACCTTCAGGAGGCCTGGCAAAGCAAAGCCCCCAGACCCACGTTCATCTCAGAGGAAGAAACAGATCAGATGGTAAGCCTGCATTACATCATGCCAGCTGATAAAAGAAGGAATCCACATTGAAGTCGGTGTGTTTTATGGAAGAATGACTGGACTGGGGCAAGGGACATGTTTTCTTCATTAGAACAGAGCTAATGAAATTCTCACCTAATTTGGCTGAAACAGGAACTCGGTTCTTAAGAGGCACCAGACGATCCTTACAGGTCTTCTCCAGCGGCAGCTCACACTTTATGTGGCGCCTGAAGTTCTCTCTCAGAATAGAACGGATCACCTTAACGATGCTAGTCTTGCTCTCGCTGTCGCTGGGGAAAGGAGAAGAAAGAGAGCATGAAGGATGCACTGCCCGTTCTGCTTCTGTGTGGGCCTTCCTGGGGACACAGCCTTGGCCAGCTCTGCCTTGCACCTCAGAAGCTAGCAAGCTACCCACCAATGTGTGCCTGGCTTTTCTGAATTAAAGGAGGTGAGAATGAATTACTTTATATCTCATCAATATATTCTAATGGACCCACAGTTGCCCCTTTTAGGTAGAAGTTGTACCCTAAAACTAAATTTCAGAAGGGCACTAAAAATATCACACACATATACTTTAAAGATTTACGTGTGTGCGTGTGCGTGTTTGTGTGTTAGGGGTGGTGCTGGGGGGCGCTGAAGAGACCAGAAGAGGCATCAGATCATATGGAGCAGGAGTTACTGGTGGTTGTGAGCTACCCAACATGGGTGCTGGGAACCGATCCCGGGTCCTGTGGCCGAGCAGCAAGTATTCACAACTGCTGAGCCATCTCTACAGCCCCTAAACTCCCCTCCTAAAGGGGACACAGTGAAGTCTTAAACCCATTTGTCCAGGGAAGTACCTGGAGCACAGCTGAAAGATGGTTTCTGGCCGCCCTTCAATTTCTGACTTCGTATGAATCAGCTCCCATATGGAATTATTTTCAGTCCCTGGGTAAAGGAAATGGAAACAAGAGTATACAACTTGGCCAAAATGCTATGGTTAAGAGTACCTGAGATGCTCACAACTCAAACACCCCCTGTTCTGCCTCTTTTTAGTTTCTACAGCTCACTCAGAGGCATTAACAACTAGCTACAAAAATTGAGATGAAATTCTTCATCCCTCTTTGGTAGTTTTAGGTTTTGTTTTGGCTGTGTGTGGCAGGATCTCACTCTATAGCCCATGCTGGTTTTGAATTTGTGGCAAGCCTCTTGTCTGAGCTACCAAGTCCCAGTTCCTCTCCCACTTGAGATTTTAGCCCCATTCTTGGAACAAACAGGAGGATTTGCTCAGGAACTTGAGGTGATAAATTCCCTTCCTTCCCATGCAGGCATGTTCTTAGAAACATAAGCACCTCTAACAAAAGTCAGTACATACAAGTTAATTGAAGAATTAGTTATTCTAGAAGGTCCTTAGTTATAACTAAAGGATCAAGGTCAGAGGGGCATTTTGTAGTTTTTATTTGCAGTACTCTTAAACATACTACAAAATTCCTTAATATTAAGTTCATAAAATTGTGTGGATCCTTGTTTAATAAAGTTTAGGGTATAAAGAAATATGGCAGAAAGGAAAACGTTGACATTGTTGACTGCAAAAATGAAAGAACAATGCAGAGGCATCTGGCAGAAGACGGCCATCCGATGCCGCTTGTTTCATTCCAAAAGATTGTAAAGAAATGGCAAAACAACCTTGTTCTCAATTTCTTCTTCTAGAAAGTAGAATACATGCAAAAATTATCCCCAGCTACTATGGTGTGGGAATGTCCCCAAGGGCCATGCACTTTCAGACTTGGTGGGTAGCCTGTGGTACTTCTGGGGGGAGAAGGGATGGAAGCTGTTAAGAGAAGGTGTAGCTAGACTGCCCCTCCTGTCCCTGCTCCCTGACCACAAAGTGAACAGATGTCTGCCGCCCCGTGCTGCCACAGTACCAGACTGAAGCCATAGCATTCCCTGCTTTTTCACGCCACATGAATGAAACGCACATAAGTGTTTACCTGCTGTGTTCCCCAGTCTAACTTGAAGCGCAGAAATGGGGATCAGCCACCGGAACTTAAAGGGGTCCAAGTCAGCAGAGTTGTGGGCAGGCCGGGAATTCGAGGGCTGCAAGGTGAGAGAGCACCAGGAAGGGGTTAAAGTCCTGTATGCAGCGAACAGAGCTACCCTGATTTATATGCAGGACTCTTGCGGGTGTCTAAGATGCACATAAACCAGGTGATCCCATGTCTCACAGGCCTCCCAGGACCGGGGCTGGGCCGGAGTGGGAGTTTATGGGACACGAGGGACAAAGATGGCAGCCTTGCCTTCCCGCCATCTCCAGTTCTTACTGGTGGCTTATGGTGTCTGTGGCTAAGCTCCAATTGAGAGCTTTGGAGTTTTTCTTTGGATCTTGGCTTTTTGTCTGCTTTTTGAACCAAGGTAAAAATTATTTTAAAGCCAAAGTTTTCCAGATCTCTATGTAGTATATGGGGCCACACTTATTATTTTCAGTGAATGAAAGTTTCTGTTTTGGCCTCCACTTAGGTGTTTGTCTTAGTCATCTTTTAAAGCAGATGGGCAGCTCTTCCACCCGTTCTGTGCATGTGCAGAAAATCCCATAGCCTACCACAGCAATGTCTGCACTCCTTGTTCGTCTCTGCCCTATTCACTGTAGCAAAGAACTCGAAGCAACCTGGTTGACTATCAAAAGATGAATGGGTAATGAGCGTGTGTGTGTGTACAACTCAGCTCTCAGGAAAAGTGCTGTTAATTTACAACAAAATAGATGGAATTAGAATGTAAATATTAATGAGGTCACTTGATCTCAGAAAGAAAAAAATGCATGTTCTCACTCATACACAAACTCTAGCCAATTATTTGTATATATAGAAACAGATGTACACTTGAGCACAGTATAACATGAAGAAAAGAGAACAGAAAAGGCTAAATACAAGGGGATGAGGAAGGACAATGCAGGCAATAGACCCAGGTTATAAAAGCGGATATAAAGTTAATTGTTTTTCTGGTTCTAATTCTGTCATGGATATTTTGGTTTTTGGTGGTAGATATTCATAAATATAGTCAGCCCTGAATATGTAAAGTTAACTGTGAAGCTCCACAGCCTGTGTTCCTGATGCCCACTCTAACTGTACAAGTTAGAATACACAGAGTTGTGTGATTTTGAATAGACATAGGTGTGGTCATTTGGGGGTGTGATGTTTTCACTATTAAGACCTTGAAAGTTTAGAAAATCAGTCAGTGGGTTAAGTACTGTTGGACAGTGAGATTCTTCGTGAGCTTTTCAGTACAACAGCAGAGAGCCACGAAAAGGCAGCTTTAATTAAATTTTTAAATTAAATTTAATTTTTCTTACCGGTTTCTTTTTCAGTTTGCAGTTTTCTTTATAAACCAGTATGACAGCTCTCTTAAAAACTAAAAGTAAAAGAGAAAGAAGGGTCTTGTTATTTTCTGCAAACCCTTCTCAGGTTAACCCAGAGCTGGGCACTGCGTGAGAACAAAGCGCTTCCAACCCAGGACTGCAATCCCACTGCATCAACACCTGCTCTTCCTGTTAGAGCTGAACTGTGCAGATGTGCCTGCCGAGCAAAGCAGGTCCTGCTTGTGGTTCTCTGTCGCTTGATTGACAGCTGAGGCCACGGCCTCCAGGTCTCAGTGAGCACACACTACAGCTTGCCCTCCCAACTCTGGGAGAGAAGGAAGAGGGTTTGAAAAGTGGCACTGTTAGGCAGCGGGTTTCCAGTCTCGTGAGGTGCTTCCCCTAGCAGGCCCTGCTGGGTACCAGCCACTGCAGCGTTTTTCCAACTCCCCAAAAGCAGGAGTCGGCAAGAGCGGCAATGTTAGTCAAGCTTTTGTTATTGCTAAGGCTTCCAAACCGGAGTACCAACCAAATACTGTGAGCTCAATGTCCTTCCTGGCCTTTCCTAAGGAGAGGAACGGATTCAACCAGGAAACTGTGGAGTGCATCAGGAGTTCCCCCATGGACAGCTCTGTCACCTACATTAAAGACAAGAAACAGAGATGTGGCACTCTCAGGAACTGTTCCACGTAAGACAGAATTGCATCTAGTGGTCATGGCTAACATATCCATAGGAACCGTTGTGTTTGTATAGCCCCATCAACACGGCATGAAGTGGTTGAAGTTCTGTAAGTACAAGCCAAGCATCAAGCTGCACCCTATTAGTAACAGGGTTGGCCTAGGGCCTCCGGCCTCCTGGCCCAATGCCTCACGACCTCACCGTGGAGCTGCATCCCTGGCCCTCTTTATGTTTTGTTTTGAGACCAGGTCTCTAAATTGCTTAGGCTGACCTTGAAACTTACCCTGTAACCCTGGCAGGCTTTAGTTGTGCCTAGGCCTGTTAAATAACAGGAGGTGGTGGTGTTTAGCTTTAAAGTACTTACTTAGGCCTTTTGTTGTTGTTTCTAGGTTTTTCAAGATAAGGGTTTCTCTGTAAGGCCCTGGCTCTGTAGACCAGGCTCGCCTCGAACTCAGATCTGCCTGTTTCTGCTTCCCAAGTGCTGGGATCAAGGATGTCCACCACCACCATCCTGTTTAGCGGTCATCTGAAGACAGTAGTTCACAATCTGTGGGTCACAACCCCTTTGGGGGTTGAATGACTCTTTTGCAGGGGCCACATATCAGATATTTACATTGCAGTTCATAAAAGTAACAATTACAGTGATGAAGTAGCAACAAAATATTATGGTTGTAGGGTCACAGCATTAGGAGAGTTAGGAACCACTGAATTCTAAGGGGTCTGTGTTAGTAGTGTTTACTTCAGGTCACTAAGCTACATCAGACTGCCAATAATAAGATACTAACATTGAAACTGACCTAGGTAAATACAAAACGCTCTGTCCCTTTTCAGTTCCTGCCACTTTCTACCTGCAGTGTTGTTTCTTACTATGTGCTCTCAGTGCTCAGTGTTCTAAGTTATCAATCAGACAAACGTGAAAGTACAGAAACTGTAAGCGATCCCTGGGACTGTCTGAGCGAACAGATAATCACTGTATCTGGGGCTGGAGCAGAAAGGCCACCAGAAGGAACGAGCCCTGTATTTTATACACATGCAGGGCCCCGTCATTCTCCCAGCCAACCTTCCCTGTGTTCTAATTTCTGGGACTATGACTTCACCCGTACAATGCTAACAAGACATAATTACATTTTTAGACCAGTTTAGTCCATTTCCCATTCCATTTCTATATAAACTATTTGATTATTTTACATAATGTCTCCTCCAGGAATGTCTACGCACGTAGCTGTTCTAGAGGGTACCCTAAGCTCATCACCCAGGCATGAGGCTACTCGAG